CTCATCCTGGAATTCTTTTCTGTGGTGAAGCCACAAATCCCAGTTTTGCCAGAATGGAAATCCCTAAGTGAAAAGGGAATTCCAGGCTGCTATGGTGGAGAGGAGGGGAACAGAATGGATCTATACCTCTGTCCCTATTGCTGGTGACACAAACATCTCCACCTGGAGGTCCCACAGCTATTAAATTCAATATATCCAAAACTCTACTATCCTTCATTAGCTCCCACTTTTTCTCCCAGAAACCCTGTCAGTGAAGAGGGATCAACAGTCACCAAGTCACCTGGAATTGATCCTTCAGTGGCTCCTCCCCACCTGAGGATGGCAGCACTAAGTTCTAGAGCATGATCAAAACCTACTAATTCAGAGTAATGTTTGGAGACAGTCTGATTCCCTATAAATCCTGAGCATAGCATGTTGCATCAGATTATGAATTTATCCATATTGCCTCTGACTGAAACAGCTTTCACTGCAATGCCAAATTTCAAATCCTTGACTTTTTCAAAAGTTGGTTACACGTTTTTAATCCATTCATGCATTCATGTATATTACATTAAAGATTAAGGAAAATCTCCACCCATAGATAATAGACTAGATAGAAAACAAACAAAAAAATGGGTAGTCAGTTGATATTATTAGCAGTGAGGCTATAAACACAGTTCAATAGAAGAGTCCTTGCCTAGAATGTGTGAAGCTCTGAATTGAATTCCTAGAACTGCAAAAACAAAAACAATAATAGCTACCATCAACTAAGCAGTTATCAAGTGATAATCCCTGTTCTAAGGACGTTGCATGATTAACCTCTGTTCATTCTGACATCTCTTTGAGGTGGTATAATTACAGTCCTCATTTCAGGGATGAAAGAAAACTTACCTAATGTTATACAGATAAGAGAGATGCACAGCACAGTGTGCTGGAGTATAAACTGAACAGATCTGAATTTCATCTAATATTGGAGAGAATATGAGGAAAAATAACTTGTGGAGGGACATCCCATGTAATTTGGTGTCCTCCCCAAGAGTCTGAAGTAAACCTATTTGAGGATAGAACTATTTCTGAGACCATCCAAAAACTCTAATGTTCTTCGAATAAAAGGAGTTCTAGGCATCTCTCTGAAACTCAAAATAAAATAATTTTCCTATGAATACTTTTCATGCCTGCATCCAGATTTTCAAAGGATTTTCATGCCTATATATAGATTTTCAAAGGCAATCTTAACTACATCAGATGTTCACCTAATTCCTCTGTTCTACCACTGCTGTCCAATCTATACAAAAATCCCCTAGTTACAACCCACAGACACAAATTACCCATGTCTGAAGTTACAAGGAGAAGATAATCTGGCCTTCTTTGGAGCAGTCTGGCTTGACATGAGGATAATAATAATCTCAGCTCTTACTATGACTAATCACATCGATTTTATTAATTACTCAAGTTCTCTATATTCCAATGTTATGTTTTTATTATTTCTGTTCAAAACAGGTATTTCTGTTGACTAAACAATAATCTATTTTCCACAGCTTTCCATATGTTTTCTTTAATACAGATTACAGTACTAAAGTTAGAAACCACTTTCTTAATATTTAAGATGCATTTAAATCAGTTTCACATTTAAAATAGCTGAATGTTATAAGGAACCTAATCTTTTCACTTCACGTGAAACAGTCTTGTGTTATTACTAAGAAAACTCTAATAGAACTTACCATAGTCACATAACATTAGCAATTTTTAATGAAAAAATATTTAGAAATACTCTAATTTGTATATATACATTCATACAGAGAAGGGGGAGGGAGAGAGGGAAAGAGGGCAGGCAGACAGGCAGGCAGAGACACAGACTTTTAGTGAACAGTAAAAGCAATTTTTCCTAGCTCTCCAGGAGTCAGAATTCATATCATAATTACTGACTGTCACTAACAAATGACAACAATTTTCTATATAGTTCCTTTATACAACTTTGAATAATCCTTTGAAAATAATGAATTCCCTGACAGTGCTAATAAGCTATCAAAAAGAAAAGAAGGTAAGAAAGATGAGCAGATGGGAAGGAAAAAGAGGGGGAAATCCCAAAAAATATTAAAAGACATTCGCAAGTAAGTAAGAAGTTAGATGATATGGATTACTTAATATTGCAAATAGACACCACCATTAGATATACTTGCATTTTATTTTAACTTTATAAGCATAGAATATTTCTGTGTGTTTATTTTCGGAAAATGCTGTCGGGTTTTTATTGTTCTATGTTTTGTTTTGTTTGGGGTTAATATTTCTAGTAATTGTAGATAAAAGCACAAAACTGTTTTTTTTACTGATCAGTACTTCTACTAAATATGATCATACTTTACAGGCACTTGAGTTCAGGTTTATTTAGACACATAATAACTTGTACATTACCTAAATGTACAGTTTCACACATTCTATTGGTTGACTTTAAATATCACTTGATTTTTTTAATAAATATTTTATTTTATAATTAATTTTACATATCACCACGGATTTCCCTGTCCTCCCTCCACCCACCCCCCAGCCTTTCCCCGCAATCCACCACCCATTCCCACCTCCTCCAAGGCAAACTCTCCCTGGGGATTCAGCCCAGCCTGGTAGATTCATTTGAGGCAGGTCCAGTCCCCTCCTCCCTGCACCAAGGCTGAGCAAAGTGTCTCAGCATAGACCCTAGGTTCCAAAAAGCCAGCTCATGCACCAAGGACAGGTCCCAGTCCCACTGCCTGGGGCCTCCTAAACAGTTCAAGCTCATCAACTGTCTCATTTAACCAGAGGACCTGGTCCAGTTCCATGGGGGTCCCTCAGCTATTGGTTCATAGATCATGTGTTTCCACTAGTTTGGCTATTTGTCCCTGTGCTTTTTCCAATCATGGTCTCAATATCTCTCGCTCATATAATCCCTCCTCTCTCATGCTGGTTGGACTCCGGGAGCTCCACCTGGGGCTTGGCCATGGATCTCTGCATCTGCTTCCACCAGTCACTGGATGAGAGTTCTATCAAGACAGTTAGGGTGTTTGGCCATCCGATCACCACAGTAGGTCAGCTCAGGCACTATCTCGACCATTGCCAATAGTCTAAGTAACTTTGCGGATTTCTGGGGACTTCGAGCACTCTGCTTCTTCCTATTCCCATGGGGTCATCATTTATCATGGTGTCTCTTTCCTTGTTCTCCCACTCTATTCCTCATCCAGCTGAGACCTCTCGCTCCCCTAAGCTCGATTTCCCCCAACCCTTGCCCTCCATTACCCCCCCCCTCACCCCCAGGTTGCTCATGTAGACCTCATCCATTTCTCTGTCACTGGGTGATCCCTGTCTTTCTTAGGGTCCTCTTTACTAGGTAGCCTCCCTGGAAGTGAACTGAAAACCCTGACATTAATCCACATACCTATGAACATATGATTTTTGACAAAGAAGCCAAAACTGTACAATGGAAAAAAAGAAAGCATCTTCAACAAATGGTGCTGGCATAACTGGATGTCAACATGTAGAAGACTACAAATAGATCCACATCTGTCACCGTGCACAAAACTTAAGTCCAAGTGGATCAAAGACCTCAACATAAATTCAGTTACTCTAAACTTGATAGAAGAGAAAGTATGAAGTAGTCTTGAATGCATTGGCACTGGAGATCACTTCCGAAATATAACACCAGTAGCAAGACACTGAGAGAAACCATTAATAAATGGGACCTTTTGCAACTGAGAAGCTTTTGTAGGGCAAAGGACACAGTCAAAAAGACAAAACGACAGCATACAGAATGGGAAAAGATCTTCACCAACCTTAACAAAGGGCTGATCTCCAAAATACATAAAGAACTCAAGAAATTAGACATCAAAATACCCAACAGTCCAATTAAAAAATGGGCTATATCGGCCGGGCGTTGGTGGCGCACGCCTTTAATCCCAGCACTCGGGAGGCAGAGCCAGGCGGATCTCTGTGAGTTCGAGGCCAGCCTGGACTACCAAGTGAGTCCCAGGAAAGGCGCAAAGCTCCACAGAGAAACCCTGTCTCGAAAAACCAAAAAAAAAAAAAAAAAAAAAATGGGCTATAGAGCTAAACAGAGAATTCTCAACAGAAGAAGCTCAAATGACTGAAAAACATTTAAGGGATTGCTCAACATCCTTAATCATCAGGGAAATGCAAATCAAAAGGACTCTGAGATGCCATCTTACATCCATCAGAATGGCTAAGATCAAAACACTGAAGACAGCTTATGTTGGAGAGGATGTGGAGCAAGAGGAATACTCCTCCACTGTTGGTGAGAGTGCAAACCTGTACAGTCACTTTGGAAATCAATATGGCACTTTCTTAGAAAATTGGGAATCAACCTCCCTCAAGACCCAGCTATACCACTCTTGGGCATATACCCAAGGAATGCTCAATCATACCACAAGAGCACTTGCTCAACTATGTTCATAGCAATATTATTTGTAATAGCCAGAACCTGGAAACAACCTAGATGCCCTTCAACTGAAGAATGGATAAATAAAATGTGGTACATATACACAATGGAGTACTACTCAGCAGAGAAAAACAATAACATCATGAGGTTTGCAGGCAAATGAATGGAACTAGAAAATATCATCCTGAGTGAGGTAACCCAGACTCAGAAAGACGATCATTTGATTTTTTTTAAAGGAATTTCACTGCTTTTGTTGTGGTGTAAGGGAGTGTATATGCATTACAAATGAAAAGTAGGTGACTAAGGATATAATACAGTTGGTAGGTAGAGGACTTCCCTGGCATGCTCAGGGGCCTAGGTTTGAGCTCTAGCAATGCAAAGGTTGTGGTGGCATCATCTATAATCATAGTACTTGGGAGGTGGAGGGAAGATGAAGATCATCCTCAGCTATTTAGTCAGTGTGAAACCACCCTGAGATACATGAGATACTGTCAAAAATGAAAAAAAAAAGAAAGGAAGAAAGAAAGAAAGAAAGAAAAGAAAAAAGATTGATTGAGAGAAAGCAACATTACTAAACAAAATAACAAAAAGATCCTACCTGCTTCAACCTCATGAAGAAAGTCTCTGTAAAAGTCTTTCTGCTGAAGTACCAAAATCTTTCATTTGCAGGGTACACACGAACCACTGTCTCCAGGAGAAAGCGGACTGGCTCCACCACCTCTGTGACCACCATGTCCACTGCCACAGTCATGTACACCCGCTTATCTGCAACAGAAAATTTCTGGGTTTTATTATTCCTTGATTAGTGAAGAAAATAAAGTCTCCTTGCTTATATAAAAATTAAAGTTCTAGACAAGCTTATTATCTTCTATATATTTATTTAAAATATTTTCTAACTATTCACTAAATAAGTAATCAAGTATTCCAAGAATGTTTCTCAGTCACTGATTATTCTATAATAATCAAGTATCTAAATTTTCTGGCAGATGTCTTTTTCCATTCTCTAAATCAGATCTTTAATACAAAAAATAAAGACTATGGAGAAATTGGAAATGCCCTGCGTTGAATTCCCAGCAACAAAAAAATAAAAGTAAATAGAATGTTGAAGATAACTTTTACTCTAAAATTATGGGGTTTCTTAGACAATCACTAGAAAATCAGATGTAATCTTTCAAGCTAAAACAGAAACAACAGAAACTAATAGGTCTGTTTGGTGACTGCAAACTAGAGGAGCTGCTTAGTGCTTAGGCCTCTCATTTTAAACCTGTTACAGTACAGCACTGCTGATATAAACATCTCCATGTGATATGAACTAAGAAAAAAAAAAAACCTCTGAAAATTTTCAGTACTTTCACTGTTCATAATGTGTGTGTGTGTGTGTGTGTGTGTGTGTGTGTGTGTGTGTGTGTGTGTGTATTTACCCTTGAAAAAATAATAAATTGAGCTGGAGAGATGGCTCTGTTTGTAAGAACACTTGTACACTTGGGTGTAAGAAAAATCCTCAAAAGCATATAAAAAGCCAGACACAGTTGGGCATACCTACAGTCCTAGTACTATGGTAGGGCAGAAACAAGAAGATCACTGGGGCTTGTTGGCTGCCAGCCCAGCTACAGATTCAGTGAGAAACTCTGTCTCAAGGGAATACAGCAGAGCATGATAGAAGGACACCAAACATCCTTTTCTGGCCTCCACATGGGCACACAGGTATGAGCACTGCCCCATTCACACTTGTACCACATAAGTAGTTATGCATATACTCACACAGCAAAAATGTCATTATTAAAACTTCAGTGAAATAAATACAACATGTAGCTTTCACGTGTGTGTGTGTGTGTTCATGTGTGTGTGTGTGTGTGTGTGTGTGTGTGTGTGTGTGTGTACATGTATACAAACTGTTACACCTGTTAAAACACAAAAGTGTTTTAAGGGATGATAAAGTGTTATCAGCCACATTTCTACTTACTATTTAAAATATTTAATTTGTCACAAAATTCGCATTTAAATGTAGAATATTCTAAGCCAGTATATATTTTTTCCATCATGATAGACTTAAATGTGAATTTCATTTTATTTTATTTCCTGCTTGATACTTACTAAGAATTTTGGACTTATGACTTAGTCGTACCATACAAATGAATAATTTATTCTTTGATTCTTAAATCTGTTTGAAACAGGGTCTCACTATGTAGCCGTGGCTAGCCTGAACTCACAGAGATCTGCCTGACTCTGCCTTCCAAATGCTAGGATTTAAGGAATATTCCACTATGACCGGCCTTCTTAAATATCTTTAAAATTTGTCTTGTCCATCAGTTTGTAATTCTCAATTAAAAGAAAATACAAATAACCAAAGCTATCATTAAGAGAAATATTCCATAACATTTTAAAATTATTCATTAACTACAGTTATATTGTTAGCTTCAAATTCAACATTTTATATTTTATATGGAGTTTATATGTACATGTATATGCATATTTACATGTGTATGAAGAAGGAAACATGTGTACATCTGTGTGCATATTTACATGCAAGAAGTATGTGCAGGTGTGCATGCACATTTGCCATAAGCATGGAAGCCAAAGGTTGATGCTAGGAATCTGGGAATCCTCTTTTTTGTTGGTGTTATCTTTGTTTTTGTTTTTGTTTTGAGGCATAGCCCCTCAATCAGACCTAGATCTTCAACACAGCAAGTCTAGCTAGCTAGTTTCCTCCAGGGATCCTGTCTCCTCCTTTCAAGGCTGGAATTACAGGTGGGTTCCCATGCCCATCGAGGACTTACTTGGATACTGTTGATATGAATTACTGACCCCTTGTTTGCTTAGCAAGTAAATGCTTCAACTGATGAGATATCTTCCAAGCCCAAGGCTCAGATTTACATAAACATTTTTTGCTATTTTAACCCTCACTTTTAGATAATATAGTATGTAATCAAATGCATGGACTTTACGGAACTAGTGAACACCCACTCTCTTTACAGACAACAGAGAATAGCTATCATTTTAATATTCTTCACGAGAAGAGCTTATTTTCCTATTAGTTATCACTGATGCTTCTTGTCTTTAGCCAAAAGTCAAATATGGGCATAAGCTAAATAACATAAAATTAAAGATGAAACAAGTTGATGCATTATATTCTGAACATACATATTTAATTGAATGAAAATAACACATTTTCAGTAAAACTATAAATCAAGCAAAACTTTAAATTTAGTTTAAGCAGATCAAAGATATAAAACCTTGACTGAGTAATTAATAAAAATGTAAGTAATCTACAATACTTAGTTAAAATGGTAAACAAAGATATGCAAATTTCCAAAATTTGTTTGCTTACATTGTTCATCTTCCTCCATCACTCTCATCCAAATAAAACAACTAACTTTACAGCAATATAAAAAGCACAAGGTCATATGCCTTCCACATAATCTAAAACAACTAATCAACATGGCTATTAAAGTAATTGTTTTAACTAATGAAGGTTTTCCCCAGAAAAGCATGAAAAATATGAAAAGGAACTTCATAAATATTCATCAGTATTTTAAAAAAGAATATCTTCAATTTAAATAGGCATCAGTACACTAAAAGTGTAATAAAACAAGACTACTCACAATTAAATTTTGAAGTAATAAAAAACATTTTAAGGAAAGTCACCTTTTGGGGTTTCTTCATTGAGTGCCAGAAATATTGGTGCATTGGGGTTCCACATGCCTGTGATGACATACGCTCTGCCATCATAGCTCTTTCCCATGGATTCCTAGAAAAGTTCAAACAGGAATTACAGATACTATGCACAAGAGAAATCATCACAATTTAAAATTATGCCCTTCATCATTTTAATTTATTAAAATGTGTATCTAGACCCAAACAGGGGCCTATATTTTACTGTAAAGTTTCCCCTATAAAACATTTCTTTGAGTATTATTATATCCTAGCTATCTTCAAACACAGGTTCAGTATAAATACATGTACTTCTTGCATGAAAAGAGGCACACCCATTCATTCTGAGTGATGAAAACATAAAGTTGTAAAGGTATATTAAATGTGATTTTTTGCTTGCTGCCAAAATATCCATATACAAAAGACCACAATATAAAATTACCTTCACTAAGTTCAATTTCCAGAATCAAAAAAAGAAAACACACACACACACACACACACACACACACACACACACACACACACCTACAGAAATACCTAACCACAGACGGGGAAAGTGGTAATGTTACTTTACTTTATGGCAGTATCTTTGAACTTCAAACTTAATACTTTTCTAGAATCTATAATTCAATAAGAAATCACAATGGAGAAACTATAATCAACAAATATAATCTCTTTCCTCTTCTTCTATCACTCTGACTTCCTCCTCCTCAATCAGGCTCTCTTCACCCCTTTTTCCTTCCTCTGACCTTCCTTCCAAATTACTTTTTTTCTCTTCTCTTCTTATCTCCTCCCATTTAATGTTTTTATTTAGCCAGCTCTTGACTATTGAAAGCAAGGCCATAAATGAGTTGTGCATATATATTTCAGAGAAAGCAAGACAAAATGGAACCTTGTAGAAGAACACCAAAGAAGCATGGTAACATGCAAATATTGAATGAATGCTATCTACAGAACTTTCCATTATTGTATTTCCTTGTATTACAAACAATGAAAAAAAGAAGCAGACCAAAACAAAGAAACTTTTTTCCATTTCTCATAGACATTTCTCTGAATTCCTATAAAATCGTGTCAGTCACTTGATTATTATATTCTTCTAGTATATAACTATAAATTTGATAGCCAAGTTGTATAAGGCCAAGAATCCTGCATTCCAGACATGAAGTAACTGAAGGACATTTGTAAAGGAAACCACTAAGCAAATTCACCCTAAATATTCGTAACTTTACTCTTCCTCTCCCTCATACATCACATCAGATACACACACACACACACACACACACACACACACACACACACACACACTCCTCTAGCTCTTCACTATCCACACTACCTAGTCTTCATTCAGAACAGGTATGAGCTTATTACCTACAAGTTGCAATCTATTTCTGTATGCTTGAATGTTTGCCGTGCTTGAGTACAAAAAAATTAGAGTAATCATAATCTTCCTTTCAACTAACAAACACAGAAATTGGGCAGTTAGCCATGGAAGCTTAAAGATTTCAGTAAGAAAAAGCCACATAAAAGTAGCAAAAAACTATGAAGTGAAACTATAAAGAATAGCTTCAGGTGCACTAGGAAACTGTTAAAGAGACAAGAGAGAAACACTAAAACCCACTTTTAAACCAGATGTGCTTGTGTAGAACTACAACCCCAGTATTCAGGAAGCTAAGGAGGAATTCTTAGCTACAGCCAAGCTTAGGCTAAATAGCAAGATACTCTCAAAACAACAAAAACCTTTAAAATAATATATCATCCACACCAAAAAAAAAAAAACAGAGGCAGATGAAAGAAAGAGGAGGAGACAAAGACAAGCAAAGAGAATGAGATCCACCAAAGATGGCGTGGAGTGGGGGGTAGACTATCACTCACATACAGAACTGCTTCAAGAAACTTTACCTCCATGTTTTCCACATACATATACATTCCAAATATACTGGATCACAATATTAAAATGTGCCTTTTTAATTTATTGCCAACATATGGTTAATTATAAAGATCCACATACTCTGGATCATCTCTAAGACTGGAATTTTAAATTGTGGTCCAGTTCCATAGAACCTAGATTTACTGTATTTTCTGTCTTTTGTGGCATTTTGCTGTTAGGCTTTTCCTAAGTTATCAATAGTTATGGTTAGAACCCCTTACTTAATTCCTACCCTACAACTTCCCTGACTAAAACTATTCTCATTAGTAGCAAAATATTGAGTCTCTGTTACTTGTACTCTTCATTCCCCCCAAAAAACTAAAATTCTATTGCATGTGATTTTATTTATGTGTGTGCATATACATATATGTGTGTGTACATATATAGATTTATATATAAGTATACAAATACAAAGGAAACTGTGTGTGTGATCTTAATGTTACATTAACAGGACTTAAAATCACCTGGGAGACAAGTCTCTGGATGATTTGTAATCATCTGGAAGGGTGATTCCAAAGAAACTGAAGTGAGAAGCACCCACTCTGAATGTGTGAGACATATTGCATGCCCTGGAGGCCAGGACTGAATGAAAGAGGGAGGAAGAGTACCAGCATGTCCTGCCTTTGCTTCCTGGTCTTCCGGAAGGGAGGGAATCCCACCCGAATGTTTTTTCCACCTTGAACTCTGCCTGTCATGCCTTCCCTTCTATGAGAAGACTATACCCTCTTCAACTATGAATCAATAAATCCTTCTTCCTTTACATTGTTTTTCATCTTGTATTCTGTCACAGCAATGAGAAAAGTAACAAATACAGTGTCATTTTTAAGTATGACTTGCCCAATTTGTGAAGATCTTAAGCCACAATAATAGGCTTAATAAACTATAAAAGTCTCAACTCACCTAATTAGAAAATACACATAGGAAAGAAAAGATATTATTACTTAAAAAGTGTTCAACACACCCAAGAGGTAAGTACCACTACTGCACCATTGGAAATATCTTGCTGGGTGGCTTATTGTTGTGGTTTGTCAGTTCAGCAGCTGGGTAAGACTATGAAATACTTTTCTCCTCTGGCACCTTACATAATTGGACTTAAGACCCACGTAATGCAAGAGAATTCAAGCCTGGTACCATAAACCTCGCTATCCACCTATGAGTGAAGAAGTCACAGATCCTAAAGGAGGAATTATTACTATCAATTTTCTAATCAATATAACATCTAAAGGTATTCTAAGCATTTATTGTTATACCTACAGATAAGTATAACTCTCAATCCTCATTAAAGAAGCTTCTTTTTGTAGCAGAGACTACTGCAAATATCCACATCTGGTCAAAATAAGAGAATAAATGGCCATGGAATGCCCAGCCCCATTTGGGATATCAACAACATAACCCCTACTCCTAAGGCTCAGACAACATCAGAGAAAATGGAGAGAACAGATTTTAAGAGCCAGAGGATCACTAGGCATGACAAATATGCTACATCCATGAAAACTCAACACTATGGTTGCCTAAAAATGACTTTAATAATGACCACACCACCGGACAACCATTGGAGATGGAGGAAGTTTTGTAAGACTCTATTCCTAGATGAAGAATAATACACAACCAATGCTTGCCATGAGATAGAAAAATCACTATTTTCCAGAGATGAACCTCCTGATACATTATCAAACATCAGGTGATCATCTCTAAAAGTATGTACATACCATCAACACTAAATGTAACACTAAACAACTCAGGAAGCTGTGAATATATACAAGTGTGTACGTATGTATGTAACAATAACAACTATAGAAGAGGTCATGAATCCAAGAAAGAGTGGAAGAAAGGGGAGCAATCGAGTAGAAATTGTGTAAATTTGGTTTACTCAAGCATAAAAATCTAAAAATGAAACTTTCAATCATAAAAAATAGTTCACTATGAATAAAAGTTTCACTAATTGTTCAATGTAATTTGCATGCCTCTCAAAGTCTATTAAAATAAAGTGGCAGAAAACTTGTTTTCAGTTTCACATGACATTTGGGTATGTCATAGGAGCAAAGGTATTAACATCTCACTATAAGGAACAAAATCAAAAGTATTTAGGCAAAATTGCAAAAAGTGTAATTTGTGCTTTCCAAATAACTTGTCAGTAACCAGAACCACCTCCTCAGTTTCAATATAAGATACTGAGTTCCTTGTTACTAGACAGAATCTAGCTAAGGGTCAGCGTCCACCTATTAAGATATCATGAAGATTAATAACACCAGGTAACAGTAAATAATGAGTACTGATAATTAAAAAGGCAAAGCCTGTGCTCACTTCGGCAGCACATATACTAAAAATGCAAAGCCTAGCACTGCCCGACTATTTGTTGTGCAGGTAAGCCCACTTCTCTTCCAGGAAAATGAACACTGTCAGGGCCTTTGATCACAATGACTAAAAGATGGGGTCAAATACTGAAGTAACTACGGAGTCTCAGAAGTTCACACCAGTTTTATAACTCTAATCTGATTTTAGGTTTCATGATGAAAATCTCTAGCGATGATTTATCTTAATCCTTTACTCTCAAAATGACACCCCACCCCCCGCCATGGAATTCTCATGGCTCCAAAATGCTATGGCTTGCTTTTCGAAAACCATCATTCATTACCAATGAGTTGTTGAGGAGGGTAAAAGAGATGGATCAATAACTAATTGATGCTTATACATATAACTGGTTGTCCTTGCCTGACCTATCTAGGCAGCACATCATCTCTCTATGTCCATGGTACATGTGGTGGTTTGTAAGAAAATGGCCCCCAAAGAAAGTAGCACTATTAGGAGGTGTGATCTTGTTGGAGGAAGTGTGTCACTGTGGGGGTGAACTTGAGGTGTCATATATGCCCAAGCCACACCCAGTGAGGTGGATCACTTCTTATTGCCTGCAGGATCAAGATGAAAAAAACACTCAGCTCCTTCTCCAGCACCATGTCTGTCTGCATACTGCCTTGTTTCCTGCCATGACAATAATGAACTAAACCTCTGAACTGTAGCCACCCAAATTAAATGTTTTCCTTTATAATACTTGCCATGGTCATGGTATCTCTTCACAGCAATAGAAACCCGAAGACAGCACACTATACACTTGAGAAAGCCCTTAACCCACTGCTGCAATTACACTCTTAAAGGGTCTGATTTCAAAACAACACTAAGAGCCCGCAGCTGCTAAGAGCTGTATTTTGCACAAATCTAAAACCCCAATACTTCATACAACGTTTGGCATACAAATGAGTGCCCAAAACTTTAAACAAAGCATTCCAATAATGCTAGAAAATTAATGCTGATATAATTACTATGACATAATCAAAAGAAAAGCTTCCCACTGTGATTTAAATTTATGAGACACAGTTGAAATATATAAAAATATATAAATTATATAAAAAGCTATACTTACAAAGGAATTTTCTGCTTACTTTGACATATTTCCATAACGTTATAAATCTAAAATTAATGTTTTTATTAACAGCAACATCAGGAGGTAGTTGGGTTTAAGAGGTAAGATACCTTGCTGCCTTCACAACAAACACCAACCTCTGAACATTTACCATTAATCCCTTAATGGCATTCCTTAAAGAAATACAGTAAATATTCACTGCTAAGTACAAACTCAGAAAGAGAGATGCTTCAAGGAAAACAAGCATCATCACAGTCCTGAGTTGTCAATGCATTAATAAGTGAAAGGTACAAGGTGCACATGGCAGATGTTTGTTATAACCATGTTTGTTATTTTAGGCTCAAAGAAAAGGCATCTTCCTTCTTTTTTTTTTTTTTAAGATTTATTTATTTATTATTTATACAGAAGAGGGTGCCAGATCTCATTACAGTTGGTTGTGAGCTACCATGTGGGTGCTGGGAATTGAACTCAGGACCTCTGAAAGAGCAGTCAGTGCTCTTAACCTCTGAGCCATCTCTCCAGCCCAGCATCTTCCTTCTTTAAGAAGCCAAACAGGCAAAGTAAATGGCACTCTCACAACAGGTTCCTTTTATGTACTTTCATCCTACAGCAGATTGTTGGATAGAAATTTTCCTACTCTTCCCTTCATAAGTAATTTTGAGTATCCAAATTTAATTATTGCTATGACAAAAGTAAAATAAAAAACCCTGACAATATGACAAACTTTTAAAACAGAAAACTTTTTTAAATATAAAATAACTATCTTCTGTACTTGATTAGAATGCTTAAGGTTGTCATTACCATATCCAGTAAATGCATGTCACTGTTCTTCACGTTTCGACCTGGGCTTAATAACATTCCAAAACATCTGAAAATGTTGGGGGAAAAGAAAGGAAAAATAAGGTATCAAAAAGAACACAGAAGCCCAGTGAGCAAAAGCCTTTTCATAATAACTATACAATCTAAGTTTTATTTATACTCACAAATAGCTTTGCTTGTTTTTCCTGGAACATAATAAATAAAAACGCAGGATACACAAAAAAAATTATATTCAAATCAGAAAAATAAGTTGTCAAGATTCTTAGGTCTTTATTTTACAAGTAAAAATAACCAAGATCAGAAATTGCCCTAAAAGTACAATTAAATAATTCATTAAAAATTAATGCATTAATAATATGGTGGCATATAAATTAAATCCTAGAAAAATAAAAGATTTTATCTGCCTTATAGTTATTCCAAATCTATAGGTAATAATTAATTAACCCAGGTAAGTAAAAAAGAAAGTACTTTTAAAATAAGAAAAAGATACTGTGCTCTCTCTGTATCAAGGCAGATTAACAAAATAAAATTTTGGCCCTTAAGATTCATGTTGACCATGTAGCATGTTAACATTATATACTCAATTCAGAGAAAAACCAATTACATAACCTCATTACTAACTGTTCTATCATACTGGTAACAATATTATCCAATACCTGATTAATAATTATTATCTACTATCCATGCTTCCTGGTGCTAACATTGCTTTAGGAATCCCATCAATACTACTGTATTTGGAAAAAGTTTTCATAAGCTCTAAAAATCAACTTTTTTTTTATAATTGCTAGGCTACTAATAGCTCCACTAGGTAAGCAAAGCCATGTCCAGATCAGTTAAACAATGTACTCAATTTATATTGCTATTAAATAGGTCTCATAACTCAATAAGCACTGTTACCTATCCAAAGTGTCATTCTGCCAATCATACTAACACTTAATAGTTATTTTAACCACAGCAATACTAAAATATAAAAATATGCCATGCAGAATTGTATATGGGGAGTAAAGAATGTAACTAAATAAAAGATAAACTTTTTAAAATTTCAAAATAGTGCAAGGAGTTGGACATATAGCTCAGAAGTATGGAGACTGTCTGGCATACATAAGGTCCTGGGTTTGATCCCTAACAACATTTAAAAAATAAAGTGTTGGTTTTTATACTGGCAGCTGACAGTCAACGCTTCATTTGCTCATTCCTGTTATGCAAAGGCTTGCTTTGCTTTCCTAGCGGCACATTTCTACACAAAATGACTCCAGTAAGTAGTGATTATACTTGCTGCAAGCACAGGAAATGCCTTGAAAGGCTTCCTTTTAGTGTCCAGCAAAGACCATGCCTATAGCCAATCTAAAGCTTATAAACTCAGAAAATAATTTTCCAAACACATTCTTGTACCACTGAAAACAAAGTAAAAAACAATTTGTTCTAGCAGTCAAAATTTTAAATTACACTATCTCCTTTAAATTTAATTATATGATTTGCTGTATTAGTTCTTCTACTGTTACTTTATCTCTTGCTAATAATAATTAATAATGTAATTGTTCATATGTACAGTTTGTGTCCTAAGGTCAATCAGGGTGGGTTTATCTCATACTCTCCTGCCTGCTCTGCTCTCTCCAACATCTCCTTGGGTTCTTTAAGAATGAGCTCCTAGATTTTAAGTTTTTTCTTAAGTTACAAACATGAAAGTACTGTAAATTTTTTTAAAAAAATCTATTTCTCAAGGCTCTGAATAAACCAATACCAACATTTTTTAATATATCCTCTCTTCTTTTGACTGTTTTGGAAAATATAAAGTATCATAATCTAACTTCTCAATAATTTGGACCTAAATGGCAAAACTATAATTTTTACATTATCTTAGCATAATAACCCTATATTACAATCTGAATCTCAAAAGGGCACCTTGATTGTGGTGGTTTGAATAAAATGTGCCCCATAAGTCTGGGGCATTTTAATACTTGGTCCCATTTGCTGAAACTCTTCGAGAAGGGTTAGAAGGTATGCTTCATTGAAGAGGTTTGTCACTAGGGACACAAGCTCTGAGGTTTCCAGACACTCCTGCCATTCACAGTGAGCTCTCTGCCTTCTATGTGAGGTTGGAGATGTGCACTCGCACCTGCCTTCACTCCACCATCATGCATTCCAACCCTCCAGAACCCTCCATAGGCCCAATTAAACACTTTCTTGTATAGGTCTCTTTAGTCGTGGTGTTTTATCTCAGCAATAGAGAAGTAACTACTACACTGGTGTAAACACACAAGCACAACTTAAAACCAAATTCTAAAATTACTTAAAGATTCACCTAACTTTGTTAAGAGGTTGTCTTAAAGCTCTACTAAATTAAATAATATTAAGTTTTCCTTCTTCTTCCCTTCAAAGGTTCCAAAAATCTTTGTAAATTATTTTTTTCTTTTCCAATGCTTCCATTAAAGTGGCTGAAGAGATGGTTCAGCGATTAAGAGCACTTGCTGCTCCTTCCAGCCAACCTGAGTTCAGTTCCCAGCACCCACTTCAGATGGCTCACAATCACCTGTAACTCCCCAAAGGTACTGGGACACACATGACATACACTCACACAAACACATGGACAGACACATAAAGTAAATCCCTTTTAAATGCTTCCATTAAAAATAAAGATAAACTGTTATCAACTAGGTAATATTTTATTAGTAAAATAAAAATAATTTTACTATAAACATATAAACTTATCCCTAAATTTATCTGCCTCAAAAGGCCCCAAAGATGTCCAATGGAAAGGCTTTGGAAAGAAGAGCAAAATGCTCTCATTCAGTTCCTCACTGTGCTGCCTCATATTAACAAGCTGTATTTCTTACAAAGGCTAAAAAAGGTATGAAAAAGTCTCTGTATGAGACACCTGTAATAAGATAAACACATGGCTAAAAAATATCACATGGTAGTTATTATCTTATCAGTTATTATCTTATCATGGCAGGGCTATTTAAAATGATTATTTGTGTTTTGTTGGCTTGTTTGTTTTGCTTCCAAACTTTATCTGTGGAACTAACTAATTTCATTAAAAACTAGTTCAATTAAACTGTCAATTGAGATCCAATAAGGGGATAGAGCACATAATAATTTCAACAGGAAAAGTTTACTCTAAAGAAATACTTAGGGGACTGGAGAGATGGCTTAGCAGTTAACAGCACATACTGTTTTCCAGTGCACCCAAGTTTGACTCCCACCATCCATAACCTCCTGGAATGCCAGCTCCAAAACCAACTTCTCCAGCCTCTGCGGGGACCTACACTCATATGCACATACCTACATACAGACACAAACATATAGACATAATTTAAAATGATTTTAAAATTTAAAAAAAAAATCTTTTACTGTAATAGGTGGATAATTATAAAAAAAAAAAAAAGAAAAGAAAAGAAAAAAAAAAAAGGAAAGTACCCAAAGTAAGAGCAAATTTGGAAAGGGTGGGGAATATCTTTTCCCTGACATTCAGATCTTCCTATAAAGGCAGAAGTGATTGCAGCCTTTTGGAAAGCAAAGTTTGCTGGACTCTCCAGGCAAAGTCAGTAAGCAGGCAGCTAAGTGTGGCAGGCAAAAGAGCAAAGAAAAGCAAAATTCCTGATGCCAACACAGAAGCAAGGTGGTACAGAGCCTGGAGCACACTATGTCTCCACTGAGAGGTTGGCATGGGTGCCTCACTGTGACCAAACCAAAGGTATGAGATCATGGACAGACTATATGGATGTGCAGTTAGCATATTACATCATTCCCAGATCTGTGGAAAAAACGAGAAAAATAAACATAGCACATCAGAAGGCAAAATATCTTCTTCCTGAAGTATCCCTTCAGCACCCTCTACTGTCACTGTTGAATATTGTGTTTGTTGAAAATGGAGAACTGTCTAAAGCTCCAGGGATCAGGTATGAGATTTGGAGACAAAAACTGACATACAGAATATTATAAATATTCCGCAGTTTATACAAATATTTTAAACAATAAATTGTGAAATTTGTACTATAACATAGGAGTATATTATTTACCCCCCCAAAAAAAATGACTAAAAGAGTACCAAAGAGGTCTGAGGTCTGCTGTGGGATGTCTTTCTGTAGCTGTGAATATGTGTTGCTCCTACTGGCGAATAAATAAAGCTGTTTTGGCCTATGGCAAGGCAGCTTAGAGGCAGGCGGGAAATCCAAGGAGAGAGACAGGCAAGAGAAAGGCAGAGTCTAGAGAGATGCCAGCCTGCTGCCCAAGGAACAACATAACAACAGACAGGTAAGTGAGCCCAAGGAACACATGGCAAAACATAGATAAACAGAAATGAGTTTATTTAAGATATAAGAGCTAGCTAGCAAGAGGCCTGCCATAGACCGCACAGTTTGTAAATAATACTAAGCCTCTGGGTGATTATTTTATAAGCAGCTTCAGGGCCACAGGGCTAGGCAAAACTGGAGAAACATCACTACAGAGGTATGTAGATTTTATTAATGTCAATTTCCTACTTGCGATATTGAACTATAGCTGTGTAAGAGGGTTACCATTTGAGAAAACTGAATATGTGCATATGAAACCTCTCTGTAATACTGATACAATTTCTTCTGAGTCTATAGTTTTACAAACTAAGAATTTTTTTAAATTAACTCCACCACGCAGGGGAGCACATACCTTTAATCCCAGCAGTCATAAGGCAGAGGCAGATGAATCTCTATCAGTTCAAGGCCAACCTGGTCTACATATAAGCTCCTAGCCAACCAGGATTACATAGTAAGTCTTTTTCAAATGGCAATCCAAAACAAACAAATAAATCAATAACAACAACAAAATGAATTCTAAGATATCAATCAACATATAAGAATACATTATAGAAAATGTATGTTTCGTTACTTATATGGTGTACTAGTTGTCTTTGTCAATTTGACTCAAACCTAGAAATTTCTGGGAAGATTAACGGAAAATGGTTCCATCAGATTGTCCTGTAGGCAAGTCTATGGGACATTCCATTGATTAATAGCTGATGGAATATCGTCCAGGCTTCCTTGGGTAGTGCCACAACTGGGCAGGTGGTCCTGGGTTGTCTAAGAAAGTAACTAAGCAAGCCAAGGAAGCAAGCTAATAAGCAGCACTCATCTGTGGCTTCTGCTTCAGTTCCTGCCTCCAGGTTCCTGCCTTCTTTCAATGAACTATGACCTAGGATATGTAAAACAAATAAACCCTTTCCTCTCCAACCTGCTTTTGGTCATGGTGGGTTGTTTTGGTTGGGTTTAGATTTTGGTTTTTCAAGACAGGGTTTCTCTTTGTAACAGTCCTGGCTGTCCTGGAGCTCGCTCTGTTGACCAGGCTGGCCTTGAACTCATAGAGATCCACCTGCCTCTGCCTCCTGAGAGATGGGGATAAAGGCATGAACCACCATGCCAAGCTGGTCATTGTGTTGTATAACACCAATAGAAACCCTAACTAGTATATAGGGAAAAGTATTCCTTAAAATAAAGTCCTGAAGAGTAACCATATTACTATCACATAATTAATGCTTACTCCATGGTGCCACATCCTTCTACAAGATATAGTATCACCACTAGGAAAATTCTAGTCCAAAAGGTGAGAGGTAAATAGGAGTTTCCAATAATCTACCACACAAATTACTTAATAATGCCAACTGCTCTCTACCAATTATCACTTAAAATCACTGTGAAAGAACACTGTAAGTACTTTTATGCAAACAATATTCTATTTTCTAAAACAGAAAGAAAAGAAAAAACAGGATTTAAATCATGCTGCCTTGAATAAAAACCACAGAGGACAAATAAGTTTATAGAACTGCACTTAAAATATTATGCAGAGTATGGACTATTCCTTTTTTTTATTTATTAGGATTTCTAAAATACTCGATTTGCTAAAAGTGTTTATGAATATATAAATTGACATAAAATAAAACAAGCTAAGAAATTAAAATCTAGGCAACTTCATGTCAGTGACTTGAGCTTCTTTCTAAATAAAACTATAATGACTTGCAATCTAAGGTAAAAACAAGTAAGGAGAAAATTCAGTAAAAGACCTAACATCAGCTTAGCAGAAGGGGATATTGTTTTCTTTGTTTTTTTTTTCTTTTTTTGATGCTAAAGATCAAACCTAGAGACTTGGTAGTGAGGTCCTCACCCATGAAGATACATCCTTAGCACCCTAAAATCAAATTAGCCAAGGCAAAAACATAATAGTTTAAATTCGACTATCCACTGACTTTAATAATATCAAACCATAACAGAGAACTATTTTGTTAAAAGAAAAAATCACAGGTAATTTTTCTTTAGTACTCAAGGACTAAGAATCTTTTACTCAAAAAAAGGACACTGTCAATAAGAGAAAATGGAAGCCTACAAAATGGGAAAAGATCTTCACCAACCCCACAACCAACAAAGGGCTGATCTTCAAAATATATAAAGAACTCAAGAAACTAGACATCCAAATAACCAAATGAATGGAAACACATGAACTATGAACCAAAGGCTGAGGGGCCCCCAACTGGATCAGGCCCTCTGAATAGGTGAGACAGTCGATTGGCTTGATATGTTTGGGAGGCATCTAGGCAGTGGTACCAGGTCCTGGGCTCGTTGCATGAGTTGGCTGTTTGAAACCTGGGACTTATGCAGGGATGCTTGGCTCAATCTGGGAGGAGGGGACTGGACCTGCCTGGACTGAGTCTATCAGGTCGATCCCAGTCCTCAGGGGAGACCTTGATCTGGAGGAGGTGGGAATGGGGAGTGTGCTGGGGGGAAGGGGAGGGGGGGCAGGAAGGGAGAGAACAAGGGAATCTGTGGCTATTATGTAGAACTGAATAGTATTGTAAAATAAATAAAAAAAAATTAGACATCAAAAAGCAAATAATCCAATTAAAAAATGGGGTACAGATTGAAACAGAATTTTCAACAAAAGAATCTCGGGTCTCCGGCAGCTCAAAGATGGCAACTCCCATGCATCGACTTATAGCACAGAGACAGGCCGAAACCAATAAGCAACATGTAAGATGTCAGAAATGCTTGGAATTTGGACATTGGACGTATGAATGCACAGGAAAAAGAAAGTACCCACACAGGCCTTCAAGAACTGCAGAACTGAAAAAAGCTTTAAAAGAAAAGGAAAATAGATTATTGCAGCAAAGCATGGGAGAGACTAACATAGAGAAAAAGATCAAGAAGAAGAAAAGGTCGAAGAGTGTCACGAGTTCCAGTACCTCTAATAGTGACAGTTCGGCCAGTGAGTCTTCATCAGAGAGTGAGACATCTGCCTCATCCTTCTCAGAGGACAGTGACTCTGAAGACAGCCCCTCTAGCTCCTCCTCCTCCTCAGTTTACTCCTCCTTCTCTTCCTCCTCCTCAGACTCAGACTCAGACTCCAGCTCCTCCAGTAGCAGCAGTTACAGTACAGAGAGCAGCTCTGATGATGAGCCATCAAAGAAGAGGAAAAAGAAATAGAACTCTCTCTAGACTGGACCAATGGACCAAAAACATCAGTGTGACTCACAGAGGAACTGAAAAGATGCTCAAGCAAGCAGGTTAGCTGGATCAGCATGTTAGAATTCAGACCTTTCTAAGTATTTACCATTGTATAGAATATTAATAAAGAATATTATATATATAAAGAAAAAAAGAATCTCAAATGGCCAAGAAACACTTTTTAAAAAGTGTTCAACAAGCAATAATCATCAGTAAAATGCAAATCAAAACAACTTTGAGATTTCTTCCACCTTATATCTGTCAGAATGGCTAAGATCAAAAACACAAGTAATAGCTCATACTGGAAAGAATGTGCAGCAAGGGGAACACTCCTCAATTGCTTGTGGGAGTACAAACTTGTACAGCCACTTTGGAAGTCAGTGTGGTGGTACCTCAGAAAACTGGAAATCAATCTACCTCAGAGGATACTCAATCATACCACAAGGACATTTGCTCAACTATGCTCATAGCGGCTTTATTTGTAATAGCCAGAACCTGGAAACAACCTAGATGTCCCTCTACCAAGAAATGGATAAAGAAAATGTAGTACATTTACACAATAGAGTGTTACTCAGCTGTTAAAAACAAGGATACAAGGAAATTTGAAGGCAAATGGATGGAACTAGAAAAAAAAAAATCATTCTAAGTGAGGTAACCCAGACCAAGAAAGACAAACATGGTATGTACTCACTCATACGTGGATATTAGCTGTAAAGTGAAGGATAACTATGCTACAATTCACAACCCAAAGAGACTAGGGAACAAAGAGGGCTTATGGGGGCGGGTGGGGGATGCCCGGATCTCCCATGGAAGGGGAAATAGAAGAGATTTTGTGGGTGGACTGAGGGTGGGTGGGGATGGTAACATGAGCAATCAGATTGGGAGGGGGAATGTAGCGGAAGAGTACTGAAAGAGACTATTAAAAAGGGAAAGCAGGACACCGGCCCCCAGCTCCCATCCTGCCCCGGACTTCCCATCTGGACAAGAGGTGAGTGCCTGGCTCAGCCTAGATCCCATCCCTGGGCACCAGCCATTCTGGGAAAGACCTGCCCAACATGGCCCCAGATTCTGGCCATCCAGCAGGACCCCTTCAACCCCCACTGGCAAGGCTCCCCTTCTCCAAGACCCCCCCCCCGGCAGACCCTGCAAACTCCATGCCCTGCCCCCACGCTCATCATCGCCCGAGACCCCAGCCACTTCCTGAGACTTAGAGACCAGCCCGCAGCTCCCATCCTGCCTGGACCTCCCATCTGGACAGGAGCTCCCATATGGACAAGAGAGAGAGAGACTTCCTGAATCTGTCAGCTCTGTCTGGACCAAGTGCGCTAGTAACACCAAGAACGAAACCACAAGGAGATAGGCAGACGTCAAGGCAGAAGTACATACAACAAAATGAAGAGCAATACAGCATCACCAGAACCTAGCCCTCTAGACTTGAACATCAAAAAATGGAAGAAGCAGAAGAAAACAGCCTTATGAATACCATCATGAAGAAGGTAGAGGCTTATATGGAAGGAATTACAAATGAAATTAAGGAAGAGACAAACAAAAAATGGGAAGAACGCTATTAAAAAAAAAAAACTAGAGGAAAGGACAAATAAAGCAGGAGAAAACAATAAAGTCCTAGAAGAAAACAATAAAGCCCTGAAAGAAAATCATGAAAAAGCAATGAAACAAATGAAACAGTCCAAGACCTGAAAAGGGAATAGAAAAAATGAAGAAGACACAAACAGAGGGAATGCTGGAAATAGAAAATCTGAGTAGACGAACAAAAACTTCAGATGCAAGTATAACCAACAGAATGCAAGAGATGGAAGAGAGGATCTCTGGCGTTGAAGATACGGTAGAAGAAATAGATTCATCAGTCAAAGAAA